TTCCTAATGGAAATTGATGCCATCCACAGCCGGCTTTTGCTGCAAACTTGCAGAACTGGGTGTTTTGGATAAATTTGTTTGGGTTTGTTTTTTGGTCAGAGCATAATCCTGGAGAAAAGGTCTATTTGTACTGAGTGGTAAAGGCACATTCAAACTGGCCTCACTGCTGCACAAAAATTACATCTCTTCATTCCAATAGCACCTGCGACACCAACACAACCACACTGTACATGACACAGTCAGAGTGGATGTGCTAGAAGGTGGGGTGGAGTGAGGAGAGAGAGTGATTGCTTTTCCCCCTGCAACTAAATGCTATGGTTTGTGTGCTGGAAAATAAGATACCCCTGCAACAAAAGTGCTACTTTGAGAAGATGTATGAATCCCTCCAAACAAATGATTAAGAGCTGAATATTTAATATGCAACACCCCCTTCAAAAAAGAGAGATAATAATCTGCCCTAAACCTGTCATTCCTCCTTCCAGAGACATTTCCTTAAGGCAACAATATATTTTCAAACAGAACTAACAGTGCAATAATACACATAACGAGGCTGAAGTAAGCCCCGCTGAGATCAATGAGACTTATTCCCAGCTGTGTATAGAACTGCAACCTAAAACCCTGGCACTGTCCACAGAGCTATGTCAAAGACTTTCAAGAATGTGACCCCTGAGACATTCATCTCAATGTTCAAGACACCAGCACTGAGTTAATATTGCTGGAGGAAAGGAAGGAGCCCCAAAGCTGTTTTATGATGCCCTAAGAACACTTCTTTTTTGAAAGTGGATGTTGGAGATGAAACACTATTGCTAAAGCCTCTATATGCTTATACTCAAAGCTAAGAGTCCTTTCCAGGGCACCCCTTCAATAAAAAAAAAAAATCCAGAATGTTCACATTTGGCAAAACTCTCCTCCATTCTACCACACCATTTTTATGCCTTCTTTTGATTTTGTTAAAGCAAAACTTTGTAAAACCGACTCACAGTTTCATGGAAAAGGGCAAAAGGCAGAGGCTGGGTGCGAACTGGAAAAAAACCCAAAACAACTGTCCTAATCTGCTACTGTGCCTTTTTCTGGCAGTTTTTACCTACAGAAATCAGCAAGTGACATGGAAATCAGCCCTAACAACCACAAATGTCTGCAGATCACATGGTTGGCACAGGAGGAAGAACTGGCCATGTATATGGCAATCCTGGTAGGAGGGGAATACAAACTTATTGACACGAAGCTAAGGCTAAGAATGCAAAGCACACTTACAGGGCAGAGAGCAAGTCACCATTAAACAAAGGTGGACTTACCTCTGAGTAAGCGTGCTGGGGACTGCATTGTAAATTTTTATAGAACTTCTACCCTCCCAATAGCAGCACATAAACAATTCCTCCCCCCCCCTTCTCTCCTGCTATCCCTACTGATGTGTAGCATTAATATATCTTAGCAGCATAAATCTTTTCAAGATCTCGAAATAGAGATGGAGGGAGGAGAGATATGAGGTGTGAAACCTATCCGTTGAAGGAGGGGGGGGGGCACAGCCTGTTTCTAAGACTTGAAATAATGAGCCCTGGACTCAGCAGGAGGTAAACAGACAGGTTTCTCAAGAACAGTAACACATGTAACGTGCTGTTGTTTTCACAGAACGGCGATTTAAGAAACCCTCTAACAAGGCAAAGGGAAATAAAGTACGATGCTGATGATGCCTGACCATTGAAATGTAACGTTTTTTAAAAACAGAAACAAGCTTCTTTGCTACCTGCAAGTAGTGCTTACTCCGCAAATACTGCTACATTAGCTGTCTGTATTTTTCTCCGTATCTTTGGAATGGATGATGTACATGAAAGTTTGTTCAATGGTGAAGTCAGGCGGAAGGCTGCCTTTGTGCACACCTATATGCTTGCTCATAAGGTTAAGGGTAGAGCTGTAGTGCCCACAAACCGTGCACCGGTACATGAGAGCTCCCGAGTGTGTCTTCAGGTGGCACTTGATGGTGGAACGCCCACGGAAGAACTTGTGGCACACTTTGCACTGATATGGCTTCTCCCCTGTGTGGATCCGCCGGTGGTAATTGAATTCGCTTGTGTGGGCAAATCTCTTCCCGCACACCTTGCAGCTGTACTTACTGTTTCCAGGTTGGCTCTGAAGAGCCACATCCTCACTTAGGAACTCCTCTGTCAGCTTCCTCTTCTGCAGAGCTTGCTGGTGGAGTCGGTCGCCAAAACTGGGCCGGACAAGGTCCAAGCCAGAGCTGCACTTGTGCTGGCTCACATGGTAGCGGTAAGCAGCTTCCAGCTTAAAAGCTTGGCCACAGTAGTGACACCGGAAGAGGGCTTCCTCCATGCTTTGGTGGACTGCCATGTGCTTCTCCAGGAGGTGCCTGTCCACAAAACTGTTGGCACAAACGGAGCAAGAAAAAACAGAAATGCCCAAGTGGCAAAGGGTATGCCACATCAAGCTGCAGAGATTGAGGTGCCGCTGGTCACACACGCCACATGTTTGGCTTTTCAAGTTAACATGGTCCAAGATGTGGCCCCGAACCATATGAAAATCCTTGGCGAGGGGTTTCCCACAAGTGGCACATGCTAAATCCCCACTGAACAAGTTGACCTTCCCTATAAGTGGGTCACTAGGATGGATGATAATGTTGTTGTCAAAGACCCCTTCGCGGCGGTGAAGGCTGAGCTGCCACTGGGTGAAAAACTTAGTCTCACACATATCACAGGAGAAGAGGAATATCCCAATGTGAGACAGGACGTGGGTGACTCTGGAGTTCCTGTCTTGGAAATGGGTCTCGCAGACTTTGCAGTTGCCAGTCAGGAGGTCCACGTGGTCTCTGGCATGTTGGCGGATCAGCTGTATGTTGGGCTCTAAAACCTTTTTGCACACTTGACAGGGCATGGCCTTGTTATCACGGTTGTCATTCTCAAAGGATAGCTCCTCTTCGCTATCATCGCTCAGCTCAATAACTTCCTCTGCAGCACCTAGCTCCTCGCTGGGATCTTCAAAATGTAGTTCATCTTCCCCTAGATCTTCTAGCTGCAGCTCATCCATCTGCCCACAGCCCTGGTCTTTGGAGTGATCACTATTGCTAGGGCAAGAGTTGCTGCCTGTTGATATATCCAGTGATGCATCCGAAGCAAAAAAATTGCCTTTGTTGTAATCCCCGTTGTTCTGGAGTTTATATGGATGACATGAGTTGACAGTGGTTTGAACAGCCATGCTGACATTGCTGAGACCAGCCTGTGTCATAATACTCATGGCACCAGTAAACTGTGCTGGTGATTCCTGTTCTTCGGTTTTGGGAGTCTGCTGGTGAATTAAGTTATGGCTGCCTTCATTTGCAGAATCTTCTTTGTAGCCACCTGGTGCTTCACTCTGCATACTGCAACTCCGCTCTGGTCCCGGGTGCTCCCCACTGTTTCGGATTTCACCCAGGGCATGGTTCGGCTCAGTCGACATGCCAGTTGGCCGGCTTTCACCTGAGACAGAAGGTTGTTTCGTGTTGGCTGAGTTTTCCAAGTCTGGGAACGTGGAATGGCAAGCCTTCAGCAAATCATCCATGCCCAGTTTTTCAGCAACCTCGTAAATGACGCCCACATTGATCAGGTCTGTAAAGAGCTCTGAGGTATAGACAAAGTTCAGAATCTTTTCAAAGTTGGCTGGAGTAATGAAATCCACCACGTAGGTGCGGGTCACATCCAGACCTGTACTGAGGAAAAGGTTCTGGAAGTAGCCTGCTGCACACGCCAGCACTGCTTTGTGTGCAGGGAAGGTACGACTACCCACCACAATGGTAACATCACACATAGTCTCTGACAACCGGCATTTGTTAAGTTCCCTCAACAGGTTGTTGGGGTGGTCAGTGCTGTGCAGCTTGATCCTCATGCCCATCTTGACAGCTGCTGAAAACCTCCTTCTCCTGCTCACTTCTTGTTTACTCCTGTCCGTTCCTCAGCTGCACCAGAAGGCGGCTTCCAGGCTCTGAAGCTCACCTGGCAAGGTCTTCTAGAGAGGAGAAAATGAAAAGTTAGTTTCTGTTCTTACTGGTTTTGAATGAAGCCCAAAATATAATAAACCTAAAATATTAGTATGCCACCTTGGACATTCTGTAAAGGTGGAGTAAAGATGCTTTTAATAAAAAAGAAAATGCCATACATTTATTATTCACATTACAAGAAAACATAGCTGCTTTTGACAAAATGCTCTGAGGGTGTGAGGTGGGAAAGAGCGTGGTGCATATACTACAAATTAGAAAGCCAGGATGTAGCATCACTGCATAATGTAACATTACACCATACCATTTTCTACGTCTACTTATTCACAGTTCTGGGACCAGTTCACCAGCTATCTTTCCACCGGAGATATAACAGTAATTCTCCAAATTGGGGGCGGGGGAAGTGTGATTGCCAGTTCACACCATTCCCTTTCAGGTTGTTCAAAACTGCTATTCCTGTCTGTTTATTTTTTTTTTCCTTTTAGTCTTTGTCACACTTTCAGAAAACCTCCTTTTTAAAGACACACATTTACTGTGAAAATAAGTTCTACTAACCCCTTTTAACAACTGGACTGAAAGTTTTAAAACTTGGTTGGCAGAAGGCCAAAAGACTAGAAATTTAAACTCCCCTCTGAACATTTCCTTCCAGACACAACCTGTTGTCTCTTTGTTTATGAGCCTCCAGGTGGGTTTTAACTTTTAACCCAGCTGACCAGCACAATAAAATAAATACGTGCAGTGCAAAGCTCATGTTAAAACTCCCTTGTGTTCTTCCCTAAGGTTCTGTGCATTAAGAAAGCAGGCAGGGATGCTATCTTAGAGCAATTTCAAGCACTCTGGGCCCCTTATGCCCACCATGAAAACGAAACTCAACTCTGCATGACAGCAGGATGGAAGGATACTGAATAGCCGTTCACTAAGGCAGAAGACGGCTCTATGCCCCTTCTTCATGCAACAACATGAGGTGACGGGGATCACTTCGTAACCAAAGTGAATGATGACGACGATGGACATCATCACTGCAAAAAAAAAGAGATGCACGTGCAAATAGGTTTGAGGCGCGAGGTTGTGTCAGGGTCGTGAACACGATTTCTTTCTCTTTTTGGTAAGTCCAGCAGATGTGGAAGTAACGTTAAAACTGGAATGATGGGGAGGGGAGGGTATCTCTCGTTTGGTTAAGTGGGGAGGAGAAATGAGCCTGGGGGGCAGGTGAGACCCAGAGGTGGAGTTGGGGGGAGAGGAGAGCGGCCCAAAGTGGGAGGGAAAAGAAGTTTGGACTGGAAAGGGGGGGAAAGTGCGGGCGAGTGTGGGATGGAGGGCAGGAGGGAGGCGAGGCAGAGCAAGCCCCGCGGGGGGGGGGGGCGAGCGGCGGGGCGAAGGAGGAGAAGGGGCTCCTCTCGCCCCGGAATGGGGAGCCGAGGGCGAAGCGGAGAAAGGGGCGAGCGAGCGTCGCCCGCCTGAGGCGAGCGGGGCGGGAAGTGCGAGGGGGAGCGGCGCCTGAGGGAAAAGGAGCTGCTGTGCTCCGGGGAGGCGGCCCCTTACCCGGGAGGCGGCGGCGGCGGGCACCATCCCCGCGGCTCTCTCGCACCTACACAAAGGGCTCCGGCTCCCCCGGCCCGGCCTCCCTGCCCAGCCCGCCCGCCCGGCCTCGCCGAGGAGGCGCTGCTCCGGACCCGGCCAAGAGGCTCCATCCGGCCCCGAGACGGCCGGGCCCAGCGCCGCCCCCAGCCCCGGAGGGGGCACTGCAGCAGCCCCGGCTGCAGGGGAGGCGCGCGGGGAGACGAGGCGGGCGGCGGCGGCGGCGGGGAGAGGGGATCCGCCCGGCGGAGGAGCGAGCGGAGGGGTCGCGGGGGGCTGAGGCGGCGGGAATGGCGGGGGGGGGGAGAGGTAAAACCCAAAGCAGGCCCGTGACCCAGCCTCTGGAAGGCCTTCCTGATGTGTCGGGGGGGGGACGCACTCTGCGCCCGCTCAGGGGCACTCTTGCCTGCACCCCAGCTTCTTGGGTTGGTTGACATTATATGGTTTTTTAAACGTGTTTGTGGGAGAGGGTCAGCGCCGGATTTACGTATAAGCTAAACAAGCTATAGCTTAGCGCCCCCCCCAAAAAAAATCACTATTAATATACTTCTTCTCAATTGTATTTCAGTTCAACAATTACTTTGATAAAATACAGTGGTACCTCAGGTTGCATATGCTCCGCTAACCCAGAAATAGTGCTTCAGGTTAAGAACTTTGCTTCAGGATGAGAACAGAAATTGGGCTCCAGTGGTGCGGCAGCAGCAGGAGGCCCCGTTAGCTAAAGTGGTGCTTCAGGTTAAGAACAGTTTCAGGTTAAGTGCGGACCTCTGGAACGAATTAAGTACTTAACCTGAGGTACTACTGTACATATTTCGTTATATGCAAATGGCTTTAGAGACCTATTAGGCCCATAAATTACCATATAGCATATATTCAACACAAAAGACAGCGGCAATTTGTTGTTGACAAAGGACGGCTGGACATATAAAGGGCCCCATTACCTTCAGTAGCTTAGGGCCTCATCAAACCTAAATCCAGCCCTGGAGAGGGTTATTGATTTGCTTTGGTTTTATTTTATTCAGAGGTGGGGTTCCAACGTGAATGAAATTTTTGGGGAGCTCAGATAAGTCCCACCCTGCACAATCGATCACAAGACCACAAGATCACAAACACACACACACCATTGGAATGGAAATGCACATCAACTAGGGGGCAATATTTTATTTGGGAGTGGGGGGTGAAGGGACCTCAGCCCCTAGGAGTTGGCTGTTCAGAGGAGTAGCTAGGCTTCCTTGTGCCCTTGGCAAGGAGCTATATTGGCGTCCCCACCCAAGCATGTTCACACTTGTGTCTACACTGGCTCCGTCATGTCCACAGGATGGAAGATGGCAGGCTCCCCAAGGATATGCTCTACAGGCCGGTTTCTGCATTACAAAGATGTCTGCAAATGTGAGGCTGGCAATATCAGCCCTGCTGTGTGGGAATCTCTTGCAGATGACCACAGTGCCTGGAGACAGGTTGTGCATCCCTAGCAGGGACCAAAGGAGGAACGGCCTCTGGGAGGGGGAACACACAGAGAAGAAATGTCATGGTGCATCTACAGCAGCACAACCAGACACCTTCACCTGCCCCAGCTGCAACAAAACATGTCTCTCCCGTATTGAACACTACAGCTACAGAAGGCACTGCAACCATCCAATAGTTTGACTTCACCCCCCCCCGTAAGGCCCATTGTCTCCCACGACTGATGGATGCCAACCAGTAATTAGTTAATGTATTCTCATTTTGTGTTTTTTTGTTGTGGATCACCCTAGTTTCTTCAGATGAGGGTGGAAATTTAATAAATATAAATAAAAAATTGGGTTCCAGCTTGAGCCCTGGCATGGGAACGGGAGCTGTGCTGCTGAAGCCCTAGCACAGATAATTGAACCCCAGTTGCTGGATGTTTAAAAACTTTTCTTCTTCCTTTTTTCTTTTTACATGTACTGTATATCCTGCCTTGCAAGTTGCCGCTTTCCTGGAGCTCAAGGTGGCGTAATGTGGTTGTTGAAGATTGAAAGGTGTTTGTTTGGTTGTCAGATTATGCCTGGGGAACAAGGGAGTAGTTAGCTGTGCAGTAGAGGACTGCTCTCCATTGGTGGTGAAGAAATGGAGAAGGTCTGGTGTCCAGCCCAACAGGAAAGGGGTGTTTGAAATCCTCTTTGCCAAAATGCACACCTGCAGATTCTGTCCCATTCTGCCCACCTGGAAAAAAATGATGTATTTCATATACTTGCACATTTTGGATGAAGCACGCAAACAGCTCATTCCCTGGATGTTATGTGCTGCTTCTCACCTTACATTTATGTAGGTGTAGGCCATGCCGAAAGGGATGCAGGTGGCACTGTGGGTTAAACCGCAGAGCCTAGGACTTGCCGATCAGAAGGTCGGTGGTTCGAATCCCCGCGACAGGGTGAGCTCCCGTTGCTCGGTCCCTGCTCCTGTCAACCTAGCAGTTCGAATGCACGTCAAAGTGCAAGTAGATAAATAGGTACTGCTCCAGCGGGAAGGTAAACGGCATTTCCATGTGCTGCTCTGGTTCGCCAGAAGCAGCTTAGTCATGCTTGCCACATGACCTGGAAGCTATACGCCGGCTCCCTCAGCCAATAAAGTGAGATGAGTGCCACAACCCCAGAGTCGGTCACGACTGGACCTAATGGTCAGGGGTCCCTTTACCTTTAGGCCATGCAGAACATGTTTCTGTGTGGAGAGTGTGTGTGTGCATGCACATGACAAATCAGGGATGGTCCAAATCGTGTGTGTGGCATTAAAAAGAAAAGTCCATGTGGTGCTGCAGTTTCTATGGTAGCAAAAATGTAAAACAGTATTTAACTGACTACTGCCTAAGGCAGATCCCAGCACCCTACCTAATGCCCAGGTCTTTGGTCTAGGCAGGACTGTGGAACTTGTAGCTCTCCAAATGTTGTTGGGCTACCAACTCCCAACATCCCTGGCACTGTCCAAATTGGTGGGGCTGGTGGGAGATTGAGTCCAATATGTGGAGGGCCAGAATTTCTCTTGCCTGATCTAAAGGAATGTGATGCAGCTAACCAGGTCCAGGCATTGTCAGTGCCTGGAAAACAGATGGCCTGAGGACCCTAGCTGCACTGCCTTGAGGCAGAAAATGAATTAAAAGTGGCCATGACACAAGTGCATGCATAACAGGGGTATAAAGGTTCCATGTTTGAGGTCCAAAGGCCTGGCTTGCTATATGAAGGTGAGAGACACAAGCAAGGTGTTGGAGATCAGCATGCACACATAGTGGGTGACCTCTGGGAGGTGAAAACTGCACCAAGGGAGCGGGACTGGCTGCAACTCACCTCTGCCATGTGTCTGCACAGTGGAAAATGTGCTTGCCAGTGGAAGTGCCCTACAGTACTGAATAACACTTGTAAAGCTATAACAGGCTCGTCCATCAGGTAGACGGTGATCTACCGGTAGATCAGTGCACATTTGTGGTAGATGATTGGTAGATGACTGGCTCCCACCAAAGAATCTCAACAAGTTTGGCTCCCCTAAAGAAAGCTCAAAATTTTTGCCCCTTGCAGCCCTAAAAAATGGGGCTTTTCACCTACCTAAAAAAGCTCAACAACTTTGACTTTCTTCCAGTAATTTATGTATAGGTTGGGGGGGGGGTTGCCCCTCCAGCAGATATGATGCACATGCAGCCCACTACCAAAATCAGCACAATCGCTTTTGTGACTTTTGTGATTTGACCCCACAAAACACTTCATCACAGTTTCTTCCTACCTATTCAAAGGGCCTTTGCTGCACAATACCAAATGTAAGAATTCACTGATAAATGTATCTATGTACTGGCTCACTGGGAAAACTTCAGAAATTCATATAGACATGGGAGCTCAGCTGCTCAGCAGCCCCTCTGCCTGAGTGATAATCCCTGGCATCCTGATACCTGAGTGCCAGACAGGTAGCCATTCCAGAAATAACAAACCCAGATGAAGACTAAAGGGTGCGATTAACTTGGCTGGGAAACAGGGAAATGTAAATATCTTTTTTGTTACACTTGATGGGTGTTTGGTGGAGGGCAAGGAGAACCATGGGGCAGGGTCCAGGATGCTCAGATTAATGCCACCAGACCTCCCCTTTCATTATGTAACCGTGATGTATGAGTGATGTAGTTTGGGGGGGTGTAACATGGGGATGAGCAGCTAATAAAAGTTTGGGGGCTCTTTTGTTTGGGGCTTCCATCTTGTTCCACCTTGTGGCAGGTGGGAGTCCTGTCGCGACAGTCTTCAATAAAGACCAAGCCTACTGGCTGCTGTTTTGCTCTGGTATTCCTGGCTGGTGTCCTTGTTTTTTTTTTGTCCAAGGGAGCCCTCAGATTTTTCCATTAACAACCTAAAGCCCCCCAAAACAGGGTTTTCCTTCCTAAGAAAACCTCAACAACTTTGAACCCCTCAAAAGGGGGTAGATCACTGCCAGTCCTTAACTCTGTGAGTAGATTGCAGTCTCTTGGGAGTTGGCCAACCCTGAGCTATAAGATACATTTTCCATATGCAGCAAGCACTATTCTGCAAACTGGATAAGCACAGTTGCCAGGTATGCTTCGCTGTTAAGGAGAAATTCAGTGTGAACCTGCAATCGTGTGAATTGAGAGGCAGAGGTGTTTCCGCATAGAAAGGAAAGACTGCACCACACAGTGTGAATTATGAAACTAGAACTTCCGTTTCCAGCTGTGGCACATGCTCTTTTGTGAGATGGTTTTGGCTTCCATAGATAGGATTCAGATTCAAAACTCACATTGGCTAGAATGTATGTTTGCTATTGTTAGCAGCAGCAACAAAGAATGTTGCTGAAATGTTGTGCATTTATTCTTGCTGCTGCTGCTGATTTATTTTGAAAGTACTTCAAACGTACTACGCATGCAGTCCAAACAAAGCTATGCAAACATGGAAAGAAACAGAAAGCGTGTTCCAAACTTGGACTGGACTTCAAGACAAGTCTGTTAAAACTGAAGACTGCTGCTTTTGCCCCTCAACCTAATGCATGTCTGTCTATCCTGAAACAAGTCCCATTGAGTTCAAAGATATTTCTTCTACATAGGCATAGTTTGCAGTCTCGGTAGGATAGTCCTATAGATTCAACAGAAACATTTCCCCTGATTCTGATAAGGTAGGAAAGTAGCCAGTGCATGAGAAACTTGTCTTGGAAAATCCAGTATGGTGTAGTGGTTAGTGTCGGACTAGACCTGGGAGACCAGAGTTCTGTGATAGGAATTTTATGGTCTTAGACATATGGTAATGTTCATAAGTGTACCAACCAAGCACATACATAGATCAGCACAGGAAGACCAACCTGGAACCATTTTGATTCCTAAACTGAGCCAATGTTTTCTCTGCAAGGTCAAAAGTGGGAAACCTCCCATTGTCTCTTTCCTCACAAATCCTGCCTTAAGGGTATGTCTGTGTTTGAACACGGCTACCTATCTGTAATTTGAATAGGGTGTGAGCCTGTAACCTGGCCCAGGAACTAAGTATTTATCATTACAAAAGACTGGCCAGGCTACCCAGGAAATCCAATCAAGTAACCTGCCAGACAGGAGGTAAACAACGACAGGAGAAAAACAATATTCAAATTTTCTGTTTTAGACCACCTTTTTTGTGATGTAGGTATGATGTATCTGAGGGGTGGTCTTAGGTTACACCCCTTCTGTGATGTATGTATGATGTTTCTGGGGGTGGTCCTGATCTACAGGATTGGAATTTCAAAAGTCTTTATAAGGCCTTGCATGCCATTTTTCTGGGTTCCTCCTCCTCTCCTGCGGGTGGGGGGAGCACCCTTTTGCAACAGATCAATAAAGATCAAGCTTACTGGCTGCTTTGCTTCTCAATATTCTCTGCTTGGCCTCTGTTATTCTCTCCTACCAATAGGGAACCTATGTAAGGACTCTATAGGGACTCTTGGATACCCCATAAGGGAAAAGGGCAATTTTTGTTTACAACAGTTCAAATCTCCACTCAGCTATGAAGCTCACTGGGTCACTCACTGCCTCTCCGACTAATCTACTTCACAGGGTTGTTGGGGGGGATTAAATGAGGGGGAGAACCATATATGATACCTTGAGTTCTTGGAGAAAAGGGTGGGATATAAATGCAGTAAAAAGCCCTCTCAACCCACCACCCAATCCTGACAACAGGGAACTTTAAAAATTCTTAGCATAATGAGCACTCTTGTCTCCTTCAGAAATGCTTGGGTGAGTAAAAGTCCTCGTTTTAGGTGGCATGATAAGCGCTTCCCGAAGGTGCTTTGATCATTATACTGTACTGAAGCAGCTAGTCGCTTAATTTGACTGGCGCCCTCTTATGCAACCGAACAATTTGCTCTGGTTATTACAAAGCTGCAATATAAAGTTAAACACACAAGATGGCAGTCTCCCTTCAGTATCCAGAGAACCTTATTTTCCTAGTGGGAGCAGCAGCCTGTGAAAATTCTTTTTCCTGCAAAGTTTTGTGTAAATACTGTTTTTTGGTCTCCCTTCCCCCCCCCCCATCACTCCCAGGGAGGTCTCTGGTTTTAAGATGTAATGTACCTTTTCAGATAGCAGAGACAGCAGGAAGGCAGAGCCTAAGGGCATTTCCCCCCTGTTAAATTTGCTAATCCAAAATAGGATTATTTATTCTTTCCGAAGTCAATTTACTCTTTCTGAAGTGAATGGCTTTTGTGCTACAGCAGGGCAGACAAATACAGAATTTTCTATGGGAACTGATGCTTCTGATGCACGAGAGAAACAACTCTGTAAATAAGCAGTGTGTTCTTTGATATCCATGATTATTTTATCATTTGTCTGGACTTATTTCAAAGCCACAAGCTTTTTCTATTTTCCTTGCCAGTTGGTTTCAGCATAAATACCGATGTGAAGAGTTGCACTGGGAATGCAAAAAGTTGAGGGGGAAAGAAACTTGGAACAATTTTCACTTACAAGTGTTTAATTTAAATATTTTTTAAAAGGGGATGGAAATGGAAAATTGAAGTGAGAAGAAACAGTTCCATGGAAATATATCCAGGAGGGGACTATAGTACATTCAGTACTACTACTTCACAAACACAAGGTTCTCATCCCATCTGTAAGCTTATCACTGAGAATGTAGACCTCTAATGGGTGGACTCTAGAGCCAAGTGAAAAATTTAAGATTTTAATGTCCTGTGCTTGCTGAATTTGTTGTATAGGGAGGCAGGTGCCAAGGAGCTGCCTGCCCAATTTGATGGATACATTTTAGAGGTTTCTGTACTGTGGAATCAAATATAATATGGGGAACCCTTTCCACAGATTCCATGTTTAGCTAACTTGCTCACCTCAGCTTACTCTTTAATCCTTACTACAGATCTGTTTCCTTGTGCCAAGAGAACAAGACACACCAAAGCAGATAAGATTAGTGAATGCACATAGCAAGGTTTTTCTCAGTTTGGATTGAAGCTAGGTTGGGGGAAAGTGCATCAAAATGCATCACTTTCATAAGAAGTGACAGGATAAATACAGGATATGGATTGTAGCTAACATCATACGTACACTGCTTCCCAAAGCAGTGTTGGGAGCAGACTGAATACAGACTGCCTACATGGCTCCTCCAGAAATAATTAAGTTAAAAGATACATCTAGTAGTGTGATGTACCTCACAGCCCAGGCAGGCATAATCAAAACCAGCATATTATGAGATATACTGATATGCATTAAAGAAATAACAGTAATAAAATAGTAATTAGTGAATCATACTTAATTGAATTACCTTACATAAAATGCCAAACAAAATAAATGGGAGGAACAAAAAGAACACACTATTAATTGTGATAGAATCACACAGCAAAATAAGATACTGTAGGCTATTAAATATGCATACTTTGCCGTGTGCGTTAATTTTATGTAAAATGAACAGTGGTAGAATGTTGAACACAAGGGCTGTTTTGCAATTATGGTAAATCTGCAACGGTTGCTTTCAATCACTCTTTTGTGCTGTCTGTTACAATGCAAATGCATGAAGCCACCTTATGCTGAGTTCATCTAGCTCAGTACGGTAACAATTCTGACCACGAGTGTTTAGCACAGGACAATTTCCTCCACAGACAGCAGAAAAGAAATGTGTAGAGTAATTTAAAATGAATTCCGTGATAAATTTTGAAGGCTGATGTGGCTGGCCACTGCTGGAAACCGAATGCAGGACTAGAATAGAATATTAGTTTGCTCCATCAAGGCTTTTGGATTCTGATATTATGCATGGCTGAAGAAGGCATGAGGAACCTGCACCACTCCACTGCTGGATCACAACACCCATCGTCCCTGACTAAACTGGCTGGGGCAGGTGAGAGCTGGAGTCCGACATCTGAAGAGCCACAGGTTCTCCATCCTTGGAAAAGAAAAAGCCTCTACCCAGACCCAGGTTAACTCGAACTTCAGAGTTCCAGTGAATTAACTTTCACTGAGGCTGCATTTTAGCAAGTCCACCTATCTGGCTCAACTTCCAAGCAGGTCTGAGGCCAGGTCCATCTCATTTGAAAAAATAATTAAAAGAGGTGCTGTGTTATTGGCAGAAAGGGGTAGTCAAGAGACTGGTGTTGAGGAGGCTGGGGAACTTACAGTTGGGGAATGTAAACACATCAAGAAGCAGCTCAAGAGGCAAATTTCTAGCTGACACTGTGAGACCAAGGAACGCTCTATCCTGCTAACCAGGATTCTATAATATTCTCTGAGTGTTTCAGTGCTTCAGGCAGAAGCGTTTCCCGAGATAGTTTTCAATCAGAGATACTGGGGATTGAGCCTGGGACTTTATGTGCACAGATCATAGCTTTTTAAGATTGAACTATGCCCAGACTCTCATCAACAACTTGCGCTGTAGGCCAGTAAGTTACACCATTTTAAACTGTGTTGGTTCGTTTTGTGACAGCAGAATCCCCTCCACAATTTTATTAAATATCAAACAAAGAACGAGAGACACACAGTGGCAGGTCATAAGTAAAAACCCTGTAATTATAGAAGATTTTGAGGTGTTCTTAATCTGTGCCACAAAGGGGTGGTCAGTGAGGGTGATTTTGCTTGTGGCACAGGAGTTTTCTGCAGATCAGGTCAATATGTACACAGAGGGACAAAGCACCATGGGGAAGGGTTACTTTCAAAATTTCCAAACAGTGAACACTAGAGAGTTACAGTGAGGAAAAGGCTGGAATAAAGGGCAGAATCAAGGAAAAGAACATGGCAACAAGGAAGCACAGGACAATATGAGGTCTCCATAGTACACCGAAGGGTTCTGGTTTGGTTGAGAGTGTGCTGGGCTTTGGTGGATGAAATCAGCTTTGTGTTGGTTTCTTGAGGTCCTGCAGACATTGTGATTGTCCACACTCCTACATGGATACCTGTATGAGAGATCAAGGGGGGGCGGAGAAGGCTGAAGTTAAATTGGTTCCAACATTCAGCACAGTTCCCTGTCTTGGAATCAGGTCTGGGCATGGAAGAAAATGGCAGGCTGGAATCCAAATAGCTGCTTAAATTAGGAGGTCGCACAGGTGATTTCTTTTACTCCCCCACTTCAGCAGCTGATCCCCATTCCATACTACCAACTGCTTGGGAAATGTCCATCAGTTTCAAAAGTAGCTGTCACGTAACATGGGTGGGAGTGACTGGTGTTAAAGCTCTCTCAGTTTCATGGAAAGGCTTTGTGGTCCTTTGGACCCAAGCAAGAAATGTTTAGAGTACAAGAAAGTAAAAGGGAAAGGGACCCCTGACGGTTAGGTCCAGTTGTGGCCGACTCTGGGGTTGTGGTGCTCATCTCGCTTTTGTGGTGTACAGCTTCCGGGTCATGTGGTCAGCATGACTAAGCTGCTTCTGGCGAACCAGAGCAGTGCACGGAAACGCCGTTTACCTTCCCGCCAGAGCAGTACCTATTTATCTACTTGCACTTTGACGTGCTTTTGAACTGCTAGGTTGGCAGGATCTGGGACCGAGCAACGGGAGCTCACCCCGTCGCAGGGATTCGAACCCCTGACCCTCTGATTGGCAAGTCCTAGGCTCTGTGGTTTATCCCACAGCGAGCTTTTGTGTTTCGCTCAGAACAACACATTTCCAATGTTTTGTTTGTTAAACCAAAACTATTACTTCAGTTTCTCTACTGGAGAAAGAATTTCAATGGCACTTGCTCAAGATAAAGCAGTTTTGTATCAGTGTTCCAGTGGGGATGGCTGCTTTTGGAACATAATGTGCACACCTGATCTGTATCCTACGGGCCCATGCTACCGCCTTGTTCAGCTTTTGTTTATCCCTTAAGTATGTGCAACTGTGAGATCAGCTTGGCAAGCCAAATTTGCACACCCAGTGTGGAAACGTTATTATCAATGACAACTATCAAAGCATTGGTTCAATGATTGTGTCCAAAATAGTAACCAAGACTTTTAGGTGGGTAATTTAAAAATTCAGATTTCAATCTGAGTTAGAGGGGCATTTAATTTTTTTGTACAGGTTTCTGTAAAAAAATATATGCATAAAAGACGATGGCATCTGAGTTCAGTACTAATTATGTAATATTAAAGGCAGAGTGAGACAGGGGGGAAACAAACTATATTCTTTACTAATCTTGGATCTGAAATATTTTTTAAAAACTTGATTATTGCCTATTATATATTATTTTTAAAATCCTTTAAAATATAGCAACCATTTTTTACATATTTATAGAGAGATTCCTGCTGCTTCATGGATTGCACAGTACACAGTCACTTCCAGGTAATCTCATTACTGATTATTATTATTATTATTATTATTATTATTATTATTTTGCATACAATGTGACATCAAGCAATTGTTATCCCACACTTCCCAGTGCATTTTCACATGCCCCTCCTTACTTCAAAAGGCCTAATTTCCTCAGAATCAGGTTTCTGACACAAGAAATCCACTTTGTAGAACATGAATTTGTGTGGGTATGGTATTGAATCCCACCCACAAAAGAGCAACAATCTGGAATTGACCTTTGTTACTTCCACTGCCATCTGCAATGTTGGCAGGATGGAACACGGAAAAAGGCCACCACCTGTTGCATCATTAGATACATCAATGCTTGTTCCTAGTTCTGAATGGCAATGAAATTTGCATATTTTATGGATTTTAGTAGTTGCTGAATACTGTGGTTTATTGTCTTATTTGATTATTTTGGCTTTTACCTACGTTCAACCTTAGACAGAGAAAAGCAAGACACAGGTTATTAAAATACAATTTTAAATTTTTTAGCTGCATTTCAGACTAGAAAGTGTTTTGACAAATTATGTGCTGCTGAGTCACTGTCTTATTACCAAGTGACTCATAACTGAATTTGAATTCGTGAACTGACTCCACTGCATTAACTCTGTTTCAATTGTGTTTGAAGTGATGTGGGAACAAGGTCTGAAGTGTGAAGCCTATGATATAGCCATTTCACACATGCAGCATCACTTAGGTATTGTATACACAAACATTATACCAACAACATACACCCACATGCTAACAGTGTTCAGTTAAATATATAGAATTCTTGTAGACACACACAGAAGCACAGGACCCAACTACAGTGGTACCTCGGGTTAAGTACTTAATTCATTCCGGAGGTCCGTTCTTAACCTGAAACTGTTCTTAACCTGAAGCACCACTTTAGCTAATGGGGCCTCCTGCTGCCGCCGCAACGCCAGAGCACAATTTCTGTTCTCACCCTGAAGCAAAGTTCTTAACCCGAGGTAATATTTCTGGGTTAGCAGAGTCTGTAACCTGAAGCGTATGTAACCTGAAGCGTATGTAACCAGAGGTACCACTGTAGTAGAAAGCAGTGGGCATAGTGTTGATTCATGTGTGTGAAGTTCCCAAAATGCTTGATTTTTCTGTATCCTGAAAATGCATAGCAATTACATTTGGAGGTTAGTGGCTCTGAGGGAAAGCATTGTTCTACAGTCTAAGTGTCATTGGCTTATCAGCAACAGCATTGAAATTACATCACAAATTCATAATCATGGAATAACTACTGTCATTCACCAAATTATTGGAACTGAAGAGTTAACAAAAAAGGAGGTCACATATCCATTCACTATGCAAATTGGAGAAATTGCATCAAAAGGAGTTGCAGTTGGCTGTTAACAGCCTGGTGTAGATGGTTAATGTTTTCCCAGATGGCTGCAAAAAGCAGCTTTGGCATATAACATAGTCCTCATGTAACAGAAGAAGGAAGGTAATTTTATGCTGCAATAAGGACTTAATGGCCAGGGGTCCCTTTACCTTTACCTTAAGGACATGTAACTTTCTCTTTTATTTTCTTAACCAAGTTGGAAAGATTGCCTCCTGAAAGCCACCCCTTGATCAATTCCACCCATTTTATGAATGAAATGATACAGTTAAGAGAAGAGGGTAAACTCATTTTAAAGACACAAGGGGGGGAAAGCTATGAGTTTACTCTCTCTTACTAGCCATACCATGTCATAAGATTTCTGAAAATAATTTCATGACCACTTCTTGTCCATTGCTTTCTTCGAGAAAAGTGACTGGGCTAACCAATTCTAGTGTAACTTTCCCACTTGTAAATTGCAATCTTGTGAACCCATCAAAGTTGGACTTGTCATGGTCTCTATATCTACATACAGCAACCTATCAAAGTAGCTTTGTTCCTTGTATGAGCATTTCTCTTTAAATATCCTTTTCCCCTGCTCCTGTTGTACTGAATAGATGGCATTAGTGCCAGGTTTGTGGCATCTGCAATGTGCCTCTGACTTGCACTGGAAATGCCTGGAGATCAACGTATTGTTCTTCTATGATGAGGGGCAGGAATCTACACTTCAACTTAACCACAAAAGAAAAATGTATGAGCAGGTGTGAGTGCACTTGTGTTTGCATTTATGCATGTGTTGGTGAATATGTGTGTGTGTGCGTGTGTGCGGAGCAGTATTTCAAATAATCCCTCTCCCTTATAGTCAAGTTCTGGGTCCCTTCTTCCTTACCTCATTCTGCATTCAATGAATACTTTAGGTCGCCAAAACCAGTGAGTGTTCCCTTATTGACGTCTGTGGGATTATCTGAAATTAGAGAACGAAGCAAGTTAGTTTTTCCCAGAGGCATTTCTGTTCAGTCCCTTTGGTGGGTACCACATCTTCCCTCTAAATCAAAGGTAATGGCACCAAAGGATTCCTTGCCCGGTTCCCCAACCTTTACAATCAGTTAACATGGCAGAATTTATTTCTTCATTCAACTCTTGAGTTATGAGTGAATAATATTTCCATTTCAGACAGTCATAAATAACCACTATGGGCACATGGAGTTTCTTCTGAGAGTATATTGATTCAGACATGCATTAGAATCATAGAATCATAGAATCCTAGAGTTGGAATAGACCACAAGGGCCATCGAGTCCAACCCCCTGCCAAGCAGGAAACACCATCAGAGCACTCCTGACATATGGTTGTCAAGCCTCTGCTTAAAGACCTCCAAAGAAGGAGACTCCACCACACTCCTTGGCAGCAAATTCCACTGTCGAACAGCTCTTACTGTCAGGAAGTTCTTCCTAATGTTTAGGTGGAATCTTCTTTCTTGTAGTTTGGATCCATTGCTCCGTGTCCGCTTCTCTGGAGCAGCAGAAAACAACCTTTCTCCCTCCTCTATATGACATCCTTTTATATATTTGAACATGGCTATCATATCACCCCTTAACCTCCTCTTCTCCCGGCTAAACATGCCCAGCTCCCTTAGCCGTTCCTCATAAGGCATCGTTTCCAGGCCTTTGACCATTTTGGTTGCCCTCCTCTGGACACGTTCCAGTTTGTCAGTGTCCTTCTTGAACTGTGGTGCCCAGAACTGGACACAGTACTCCAGGTGAGGTCTGACCAGAGCAGAATACAGTGGCACTATTACTTCCCTTGATCTAGATGCTATACTCCTATTGATGCAGCCTATTGATACTCCTATTGATGCATTAGCGATGGAACACATCTCACTCCTGCTGTTACACCTTAAATGGTGGTCATCAAGATGGAAGGTTCTATGAGGAAAGCTGAAGGAACGAGTGTGCTTATCCTGAGGACCAACTATGGAAGATGGGGAGGGAAGAAACAAGCTACAGCCAGATTCTGTTTCTGCAGTTCCATTTGTCCAGGGGTAGAGCAGACCAAACAAGAAATAGAAATCACCCACTACAAATATGACAGTTTCTCCTTCCTCCTCCCTTACCCTTGTTCTTTGCTTTCCTTTTAGCTATAGCTGCTTTACCATGTTCCACCTTCTCCACTGCTGTATGATCTAGTTTAATGCAATCTGAAAAGTAGGTGCCACCTCAGATTACGCCCTGGATATTGGCCCTTAACCACCAAACCCACCAGGTAATTGCTTTTTAAAATGAAAACTCAGATTCCCATGAAACTGCATTCTAAAACTAATGCCGTGTTTTGAGTTTTTCCTCCTTCGTTTCCACAGAACTGCATCTCACGCACACAGGACCCTGCCTAAGAATTAGAAAGTTGAAAGAAAGAACCCTTACTGTACTTTCCAACTAAGAAATCTACCAAGAAATCTGTTGAAACCTATCAAGATTTTCAAGGAGTGTGTTTGAGTGTGAAATCTCCTGGCTTACACACCTACCAGGCTCTGTGGTCCTTTTCCCCATGAGTCCAACAAAGAAATCATGCATGTCTCCTACAGAGAAAAACAAGAGGGTTACAACAGGTCAAAGTATCAGCTGGATTTCAGATTTTAGAAAAGAAATAACAGGACTATTGTAATGAATGGCTTCTAAATCTGCTATGGTGGTGGTTGGGTGCCTTTCTTGTAGACTCTGATTAGATACTTGCATTCTGATCATCAGGGATGACTCCAGTGGTCACAAATAAGTTTCTGTAAATAACACACTGCCGCCACCATTTTAAACCAGCTTCTCAGAAAGGGAGATATTGCTGATTGTAAGTTGAGGAACTTATGGAATATCAGTATCATGCTGAACACTTCATTCATTTCTTACTATATAATGTTTCTGTTTAAAAAAAGTTTCATGGAGCAGTTTGTGTAAATGACAATAGATGGCCATGCCAACTGCATCATGATAGCAGTGGGCACAGCGAGCAGGTGAAGCAGGAAAGCCAAGTAAATGTATATATACGAGAGAAAAATCCGTCTTTGGTCATCTGTTCCCTGACATTCATCTCTCACTTGTGTCCTATACCCATCTGCATTCATTCATCTTAAGAGATTTCAGCCATCTTTTCTTTGTCATACCTCCTGCCATTGCCTATTCTGTGGCAGCACACTCAGATGGGCAGGGAATAATAATAATTATAATAGTAGTAGTAACAACAACAACAACAACAACAACAACAACAACAACAATAATAATAATAATAATAATAATAATAATAATAATAATAATAATTTATTATTTATACCCCGCCCATCTGGCTGGGCTTCCCCAGCCACTCTGGGTGGCTTCCAAAAGAATATTAAAATACTATGATACATCAAACATTAAAAGCTTCCCTAAACAGGGCTCATCATCATCATCTGAAACTGACAGTGGCAAAGATAACAGGTTCTTTTCCCCCTGTGGGGCATTGCTTTCAATTGTAATCCTTTGCATGTTTACTCAGAGGTAAGCCCCAAAAGTTAATTGGAGGTTACTCCTCACTAACCAGGTTACCTATCTATTCGGGTAAAATGGGACTTACTCCTATGTAAGTGTGTATAGGATTGCAGTCTTAATCAACAGTCAGAAGTCTTCTTTTCACTCTCTCATCACTTTTTATCATGAGCAGAAAACTGCTCTCTTTTCTTCTTCCTGTCTCATTCTATCATTCTTACATGCTGTCCCCAGTCTCACCTGCACACACTTCTACCTAATTCTTATGCCAGTCATCCTAGGAACTACTTCCATCACTCTTACTGCAGTGCCATTGGGAATCCTGGCCTCAGTGAAGCTATTGGCCTGGGCTGGTCATGCTGTACATGCCAAGTACCATAGGGGAAGAGAGAGGACAGAAACCCCCCAGAGTGAAAGATATGGCTGGCTGAAGATGAGGCAAAGAGCCCCATTTCAGCTTCTTCTGCTTTTTACGCATGGTTTAAAAACCTTATTAGACTGTGACTCTCTCATGAAAATGTTTCCTCCACCATAAATTCACTAGCAACCTTAGGGCTTGTCCAAACTTCCACTTGTTCTGTGCCTAGAAAGCTGGAGTATGAGTGTTTTTCATCTCATCCTGTGCTTTCTAGCCACGGGTCCAAGCCTTTGCCCTGCTGTTTCCCCCCAGAAAATCCACTCTTTAATGCTAAATTGGAGCAAACGTCAATTTGGAGAAAACCTGATGTTTGCTCCGATTCAGCGGTAAAGATCGGGTTTTCCCGGGGGAGGTGACAGGGCAAGCGCATGTCTGGTTGAGCCCTCACCCTTCAACAGCCGCTTCAAGCTATCGTTAGGGATCAAGCCATAGCCCAGGGACCTCTTGGTGTGCAAAGCAAGCAAAATAAGAGCTGACTTACGTTTCTGGGAAGAGGCAAGTGCCTGAGGATCTGAAAAAAAGAAAGAACAGGGGTTCTGGGCTACCAAGGCACAATACACAACTCCAGGCCATGACTGGTTTGTAAGGTGGAACAGATGCCTGCTGGGACTTAAGTAGTGAGTTTTTAATTTAAGATTAAGATCTTAAATACTTTGGGTGAAGATCTATGGACTTAACTTTATTAACTCTTAAGTCTTTATTTCATGTTTTTTTTCTTTGTGTGTTCATGTTTTTATTAGGATTCCAGTGCATAGCCTATTTAACTGCTGATGTCATCAAGAATATTCTGAAATAATTGGGCTGAAAACTTTTGTCGCTGAATGACACTTTCAGGTGTTGACTACATCTTTTGATATCTTAAGGTGTTATTGTTATTCCTGCCAGGAAATACAGCTTGCATTTTGCGTTAATAGAAATATTCCCAACCCAATCTAGAAATTTTCCCATCCCAAATCCAAGGGTGATTAAACTCTCACAAACAATGTCCAATTTGTTGTAGGTGTGGCTCGTCCTGCATTTAGATTTACATTTTTTGCTGCCACTGCAAATATCCCCTTCATCCAAATGTTGGACTAGGACCTGGGAGGGAGAGCAGAGCTCATTTCCCCACTCAGCTGTTAAGCACATTAGATGACCTTGGGGCAGTCACTGTCTCTCAGACTAACCTACTACACAGAGTCCTTGTGAATATTTTAAAAAATCATTAGCATTTTGAAGTAGTGGGAAGGTGAAAAATCTTGAGCTCCTTGGATTGTAATAATTACAACAGAAATCTGAGGATGGTTCATATATGTGAAGGCAACCCCCAAATCTATTCTATTCCATGCATAGATTGTCTGGCTCTCTGCTGGAATGCTTGCTGCTATTGTAAAGTAGACTTCATAGAACGTACTTCGAACGAAAAACATAAAAATGTCCCATTTTCGGTTTGTTATTTCATACTTTATTTTTATTTCATAAAATTTATATACCTCTTGAGGGACGCGGGTGGCGCTGTGGGTAAAAGCCTCAGCGCCTAGGGCTTGCCGATTGAAAGGTCGGCGGTTCGAATCCCCGCGGCGGGGTGCGCTCCCGTTGTTCGGTCCCAGCGCCTGCCAACCTAGCAGTCCGAAAGCACCCCCGGGTGCAAGTAGATAAATAGGGACCGCTTACTAGCGGGAAGGTAAACGGTGTTCCGTGTGCAGCTCTGGCTCGCCAGAGCAGCAATGTCACGCTGGCCACGTGACCGGAAGTGTCTCCGGACAGCACTGGCCCCCGGCCTCTTGAGTGAGATGGGCGCACAACCCTAGAGTCTGTCAAGACTGGCCCGTACGGGCAGGGGTACCTTTACCTTTATATACCTCTTGGTTGTAAGAAAAAGCCTCAAAGCAGCTTACAAAAAAGGCTTTTCAAGTAACCAAGGTGACTTGAGTTGCCTAAATGCCAACTTTACTCTTCTGTTTCATGGGAAACTGCCGTAACTATTCGGAAGGTGAGGGGAACAGGACTTACTGACTTCCTCTTTGCCTGACAGTCTGAGCAGTGCCTCATAGGAAATCCCTTGGCCATCATACAATCGCCGGAGCAAAGATGGAGGAGTCTTATAGAAGTCTGAGCTCTTCTGTTGGAAAGAAAGGAGAAGACAACTGAGAAAGAAGTACCAAAGCTCATGTGGCAATGTATAGCAGAATCACACAGAAGTAGTAAAGAGAGAGAGAGAGAGAGAGAGAGAGAGAGAGAGAGAAGGACACCAGTATAGAACTCAAAACTTTAGAGTAGGTGTCAGCAACTGGAAGTCCATGGGACAAGTCCAATTTGCCTAGAAACAGAAACGGGGTGGGAGCTGAATGGAGACAGTTGTATCTGTGCCAGCGAAGCTTTCTGACTATCCATTTTAGAGGGTGAAAGTTCTGGTACAATGCCTCCCTCCTCACCCCCACCCTATCCTGAAATCTGAAAAAATGAGACTCAAAAGTCTTCATATTGATTTGCATTCAGTAGTATTCAAAAATCTCCAGTGAGAATTTAGAGAATTCCATGTAAAGCAACTGCAAAATCCAAAATCCCACATAGCTACATTAATAATTTGAGAAGTGATTGGGAGGTGTGCATGTCAAACTTTGCAACATATCTATTTAAAATTTATGTTCTGAATCCCTACCCCCTTTCCCAGGGAATGGGGAGGAATTGCTCTTCCAGCACTAAACATCCTATTGTTTCACACATGTCTTGCTACATACGGGTACTGATTAGCATGCTGTTCCCACTGGTTTGGGGAAGATCCCCCTGTTCCCTTACCCATCTCCAAGGCAGCCTTCCACCACAGCCTTATGTATTAGGCAGTCTCATATTTTGCACTGGATAGAGTCTATGGGTTCCCCATTTCACCTTGTTCAAGTAGCTTGCAGGTTGCACATTTACCTGGCATTAAGCTCCAATGAACAAATTGCTAATTTCTTCCAGGTTTATAATGTGCATAGGAACCAGGCTGCAAGAAAGATTGACAGATGAGGTTTTTATAGCAAGCACTGTTAGGCAAATCTTCCTGACAGATTCACTGCTGCTCAGCAGGCTGGATAAAGTTTGGCCTTGTCTTCTCTTCTGGGCTTCTGGGGACTCTGGAGTAAGGAAGCACCCTCTGGACTATGATGGTTGTGACCAGAGGGAACAGCAGGAATGGGCATGTTGAAGCACAGAGGCAGCACTTGATGTGCCAGGGAGGAAAGGAGAAGGAAGCTTGCTCTTCAAACCTGCAATTTTTTCCTCTCCAGGGAAACCTAGCCATAGGGAGAAAATGGGATAGGTGGATGCATATCCCAGCACATTATGTGGAATAGCTTTGAATACACAGATTGTGAGGGAAAGTTCCGAAATAGCAATGAGCATGCAGTATAGAGGAAGATGGAGAAAAGCTTGGGGTTTGAGAGCATTCTGGGGGAACGACTAGAAAAGAAGGCTAACAGAGGACTAAAAACATTTTTTATACTGTGTGTGAGCTCAGCTACTAGATTTTGCATTAATGCTTTTCTCCATAAACTAGTGTACAGTTAAAGCCATGTAGCAGTTTAGTTCCCCTTAATCGTGAGCTGAATTCTACAGTTACAGTGGTGCCCCGCAAGACGAATGCCTCGCAAGACGGAAAACCCGCTAGACGAAAGGGTTTTCCGTTTTTGAGTTGCTTCGCAAGACGAATTTCCCTATGGGCTTGCTAGTCTTGCGATTTCCCCCCCGCCCCCCCCCTTTTTCTAAGCCGCTAAGCCGCTAATAGCCTTTTAGCAGCTAAGCCGCTAAGCCTTTAATAGCCGCTAAGCCGCTAAACCGCTAATAGTGCTAAGCCTCTAAGCCGCTAATAGGGTTGCTTCGCAAGACGAAAAAACCGCTAGACGAAGAGAATCGCGGAACGGATTCTTTTCGTCTTGCGAGGCACCACTGTATTTCTTTAGCTCTTCCCACAAAAAGGTGGCAGTGGCCATCGCTGAACCAACTCTTTTGCTACATACCTGGTACAGATTGGGGAAAGTAATATTTTTAAAACTGCCTTCTCATTGAAATTTGATATGCCCATGTTAGAGTTATTGAAGGTGACAGTGGGAATTATTTGTACATCTCCTTTGATAGCCAACAGGCAGTCCTGGACAGGTAGCACTAGAATGTCTGCAGATTTTGATGGATATGAAGTTCCATCCTTATTTCCCGTAATCAAAGCATAATTTTCAAGTGAAAAACTTTGTCAATTACATCTACCGTTAGTTACAGAATTTAAATCTATCTCAAATAAGAAAGCGGGGGCAGGGCGGGGGTGTCCTCTAA